TGGAAAAGTGATTCTGGAGAATAGATTCTGGAAAAAATAGATTCTGTGAAGAATAGATTTTGTAAAAAAGTGATTCTGAGAAGTGAGAGTGTTTGGATAGTTGTTATCAGAAGCACTTTTTATATATACAAATTACTAAAAAAAAGACATAAGTTAATATGATAATTACAGAAAAAATAGATTTTATGATATATTTTAATTTGAAGAAATAAAATTGTTAATAATATGTTTTTTACCAACATAATTAATAATACATAAGATAATATAATTAATAAATAATTAATGTCTATATATATTTATAAAATATAAGATTAAATATATTTATAAAAAAATATGTTTATAAAAAAAATAACAAGATACATATCATATAGGCCCTCACACTCTCCCTTTTTTCTCCAAAAGCAAAAAAATTTTGCTTTTTCCAAAACCATGGTTTTGGAGTCAAAACCATGGTTTTGACCCAAAACCATGGTTTTGACCCAAAACCATGGTTTTGGTTTTTGGAGAGGCTGTTTGGGTAGCATTTTCCCCAAACCATGGTTTGGGTCCCCAAACCATGGTTTGGGGTGCTATCCAAACAGAGCCTAAATAAATATAAATACAATTTTTGGGGAGAATTTTTTTACAAGGAAAAATTAAAATGCTAAAAGGAAAATTAAGCAGAAAAAGCACAGAAAATTAACAAAGCAAAAATGTAAGGTTTTCTTCAGGTACAGTAGAGGGAACAATTTAGGATTCACAAAGTCAACTTTCATAACTCAAATTAATTAATTAATTAGACCAAAGAGAAGTGACAAGAAAGTGAAATTAATAAGTTTAATACCTACTTGAAACAAGAAAAACCCTCAAGAGAACTCATAACTGGATAAGGCCAATTAATTAAACCATTAAAACTAAAACAATTTATTCAAATTAATTCTGAAAATTATGTTTAAAATTATCTAATTAAACAATTAGAGAATTTACCAACTTAATTAAACAATCAAGAGGCAAAAGAACCCAAATTTGCAATTCAAACCACATTGATAATTAAATCCATAATGAAAACCTAATTATAAATTCAATTAACAATGCAAAGGTCCACAAACATAAAATCCAGTGAATATCTCATCACAAATATAATCCAATCAATACAATCCGAGAATAAAAATGACAGCCTAGAACTAAATTGTCTCATGGAATATATAACTCAAAACTATTTAAAACTAAATAATCTCTAGATCTTGAATTCCAAAGATAAATGGAACATTACTCTTTTGTGGTCTTCAAGTGCTAGCTAAAGGGTTAAACTTCTTTCTTGCTCCTCCCAAGTTGCCTCCCAAATAAGCTCAAGTTGCCATCAAATCACTTCCTGTAACATCCAGACTTTTAGGCCTAGAAGTTCCAAAAATAGCCTAAATTAAATAGGTTACCAGACCCCTGTGAGCAGAAGTCCCAAAGACAAGAAAGGAAGTTAAAGCAGTTTCAGGGACTAAACTGTAAAGTAAAAGTTTTCAGGGGCTCGAGTATAATTAAGGTTAGAGGCTCCAGTAAAGTCTCGAAGGCCCATAAAGAGAAAAGAGGCTAGATACAGGCCAATGGGTAAGTTAGAAACCTCAAAGAGATGGTTCTATGAGGTTAGGCTTAAGCAGGGATAAAAGCGTAAATTCAAAAAGTTATGACCAGCAAGGGCAAAAATGGAAGAGTGTACAGAAAATTCCAAGAAAATCCCAGAAAATGGGAAATAATATTCTAAGACTCTTCTATGAAGAGAAAAGATGAAAATACCCCCTTAAATGGAATTTATGAGGTTGTGACCGGTAAAAAGTATACCGTTTGAGATAATTATTTGAAATAGCAAGAGACCTCAAAAGTGTATACAAAAATGAGGTTAAATGGTTGAACGGTTGTACTAAACCAAAAGGCCAGTAGAGTGGCTTTAAGAAATTAAAGAGCCGGTTTTGCCGATAAAAGGGTATTTTAGTAAATGAATTTTATGCAAGGCTTAAAGGAAGTGTTATGGGCTAAGAAAATTCATAGATACTCTCTAGAATTAAAGAGAATTTATGGATCTGACAGAAAATAATTACAGAGGCCAGAGCACTGTAATTAGAGAAAAGAAGTTAAACCCGGAGTAAAAGTGCACCAATAAAGTATTAATCAGAGTCTTGCACTTTACTTAGGCCACAAGTCGCCACTTGTCAAGCCTTTAATGGATGGTAATTAAAGCTTTCCAAGTGTCAAGCTACCAATTGATAGGATCTTCACTTTGGAATTTAATTACATTATGATTTAAGTTAATTAAGAGAGAGGATTAAGATTAAGTAGGCTAATGACACTTGGCATAACATTAATGATGGTTGGTGGGATATTTTGTACACATTAATGAGCTTCTTCTCCCCCTAATTGCTGATGGAATTTTGTCCAAGTGAGAGGAAGAGGGAAAAGAGAGGGTTTTGAAGGAGAACCAAGGAAAAGCTATCAACTTTGGTCATCAATCAAGGATTTAAGGTGAGATCTTGGTTCTAGATGTGTTCTTGTCTTGTTTTCCTTTTCTTTTAAGGTTGAAAAATCTGTCTTCTCTCCCTTTTGATGGCTGGTCGAAATGGTTGATGAGTGGGGAAGGGAGTTTGGTTGTTAGATCTTGCTAGAACACCTCAAAGTATGGTGGATCCAAGTGGATCTATGTGAAAATTGGAAGAATTACGTGCTGATTTGATGACTTTTTCAAATTAGTTACTGTTTATATCTGGTTCTGAAATTTGACATGCTTAAAGTACACTCTGTGAGCTTTAAATCCATGGATAGAACACTTCATTTGGATATGTGTACGATTTATGGTGATTTTCAAAGTTAGGGTTTGAAATCTGGAAACAGTGTTAAGCTTTTGGAAGGGTGTCGAGTTCCGTATAATTCTGGTACTGTTCAGCATAGAATTGGTTCCTGAAACTATTTTTCATTTAAATTTAACTTAATAATATTTCAGTGAGACTTGGAAGCACTCAATTTGGATTTTTATAGATTTAATTATGAATTTTCAAAGTTGAGCAAAAATTCTGGAGATTCTGCGTGAACAGTACCCGCAAACCAAAATTTTCAGATTTGATCTTCTTGAATCTAAGGCCATCTAAAGTGGTCCTGATTGACAAGAAATGGATCATAAGGATGGAAAATGATGAGATTTATGTTAGAAAAGCTAGAAAGAAAACCCTAAGACTAAGAGAAAGGGTTGAGGTTCAAGAGAGCTAGCTTTGAACTTTATGTAATCTAGTGGTCCTAATAGATTGTATGATCATTATGACTATGTTTAGGACCTTTGGAAGATCCAAGAGGATGTTTGATGATGTTGACCGAAAGCTAACATGGTTGGAAAGTCAAGGGAGTCAAAGGAAAAGTAAGAGGAAGGCTTGAGGTGCAAAGTAGTGAACTTACCTATTGTCATTGCTTGATGTGGTATGCTTGTGTGTTGCCGTGTACATGTTATTGAATGTTATTGTGACATGTTTTAGCTACTGTAATTGCTATTCATGATGAGTAGATTATGTCTCCATGGCCATGCATCAAGAAGTTAGCTTTGAGCATGCTAATATGTCACTAATTAACAAGAGAATAAACAAGTTGCGTGTAGTGCATGAGCATCCATTTAGCATGATTAATATGGTATTGTTTGCTACTGAGATTCCCTCGAATCTCACCCCCTCCCTAACCAACCATTTAGGTCAATCAATGGTGGGCACTAGTGGCATGAGAAGCAAGGAGAAGAAGTGGAGAGTTATTGATGCTAATGATTGATATTATTGTTCAATGTATAATTCTCCTATGTTATGACTTATGTTATGAATACCATCAATTCAATGTATGTGCTTAGGATGTTTATGGCATGAATGAAAGTATATGAGCATGAATGGGAAAAAGTAAGCCCATGTTAGGTATGCCAAAGAAATAAAAAGAATTAAAGTAAAGAGATATTAAGGGATAAAACGTAGGTCCTGAAGCAATTAATTTCAAGCTTCAGTTCGACCTATCACATGAATGAGTTAAGCTACGGAATTTGGTACACTTATAATGCATATCCCAAGCTTTAAAATGAGTGGTAAATCACATCATTTGGATGTGTATACAATGAGATATGAATTTTCGAAGTTAAGGTGCAGAATCTGGAAAGTCCAGATTTTAGCAAATGAATAGAAATTTTAATCCAATAAACTGTATGTTTTCAGTGAGGATGAGTTCAGTTGAATATTTTTCCCTTAAAGAGCATTGAAATAGCTTTCTGTAGAATTTTGGAACACCTCCATACGATTTTTCTAGAATTAGTTATGATTTTCAAAGTTGGACCTGTAATCTGAAAACTGGACAGTGAACAGTAATTTTCCGAAAATTAATGTCCAAATTGAAATTTTTAAGCTTAAGACCATCCAAAGTGGTCTGGAATGGTTCTAAATGAATGCTAAGGTATTATATAAGTAAGGTGTGACACTTCCTACTCCAAAGTTGTTAGAAGCCATGGCTGTGAATTGATGGAAGGTGATGGTTACATGTTGATAGGAATTGAATCCTTGACCGGGGGAGAGATTAATGTTGTAACATCCCAAAATTTTGGGCTCTAAAGTATAGAAAATAGTCTAAGACAGAAAAGCTATTAGATTTCTTCTAGCAAGAGTCCTAAAGATTTCCCAAAGGGACAGAAGGATTCCTACAGACTAAATCACAAAGTGAAAGTTTTTTGTAAAATGTCCTTCCTTTAACCCCTCAGAGTATGCGTTTGGAAGCATTACGATTCAAGCAATTCATGAAACAAGCCCATAGATTAAAAATTTCAACATAATTACCCAGGTTACTATTCATTGTTTAAGTTCCAGATTACAGGTCCAACTTTGGGAGGGCATAACTCTTAGCACATATATCTGTCTTAAGTGATCTACCACTTGTTTTAAAGGTCAGGATGTGTACTTTAATCATACCAAGTTTCATGAGTAGAGTTAGTCATTTTCCATACTTATTTTATTGCTCAATTTGGGATAGCTTTTCCCCTAACTTACACTAATAGTTCATAATTAAGACTTCCCATACATAATACCATTCCATTCATACACTAACCATTCCCATATATTATCATAGCTAATTACACAAGCTAACATCATTATTTATCATCACATACCATTAATGGCACATTTACAATATACATTGGTATATTCAGTGTACAACGTAATACAACAAATTTTCCTAAATCTTTTCTTCTTTCCTTGCTTCCACTTCATGTATCCTTCACTTAATCATATCACTTATTATGGTTGGTTAAAGGAGGTTGAGATGCAGGAGAATCTCAGTAGCAAACAATAACCACCCCAAACATAAATGGAAAGCTTGACATTTATAACATGCTTGCAACTTAACATCTTTATAACATAATGACATGTTTGGAAATCATCATGCATTTATCATAAAACACATCGGCCTATGGCATATTCCAAACACATTCACAATCACAACACATGATTTCATAAAATCATATAGCATATAAACATGTCATGCACACAAGTAAATACCAAGCACATAAGAGTAAGGTCAAGTTTGCTACTTTGTGTCTTTAAACTTTCTCTTTACTTCCTCTTGCTCCATTTTGCTACCAACCACTAAGGTTGCTTACTTAACCTTTGCCATTCATCTTCCTCAATGCCTCATGACCCTAAATGCATCAACACGTCACTTCTATTCATTCGTTAGAGTCATGGTAATCAACAACATTAATACTTTGTTTTCTTTGAGTTATATTAACTTCTAACTTTTGAGCTTAATTTCCAACCTTTCTAAAATTAATTCCACATGCTATTCCCACATAATTTTGTATTTAGAATCTATTTTCAAGTTCAAAATAATCAAAATTAAACTCCTCCCTACTCAACTTGATCTCGTCGGACATAGGGTCTTAGGGCTCAACATTCTACTTTCAATTCTAATGCTTCCAAACTTATTTTTTCACCTCTACCCCACACAATTTTTCATTTTAAACACACTAAAAGCATTAAAATAATCAAAATCCAATCCTAGCCCCAAGAACCAACCCTAGCTGAAATATTACGCAAGTTACATAGTCCTGAAATTTAACCAATTTTAGTATAAAACCACTTGATTTGCGTTCCTTTCAAGGCTTTGAACATTATTCTAATATCAATTTCATCTTTCCCTATTCTTAAGAATTTCATGCAGCATGCCCTTTAGAGTTTCAAGCTCCCAAAAATCATTAAAATCCATAACCAAGCTCAAGAACAAGGGTAGTGAAAACTACATCAAAAACCATGAACATACCTTGTTTTAGAGCTTGGTCTTACATATGACCACTTGGCCTTTCTTTCTCCCTCTTCTTTCTCTCTCTAGAAACCATTTTGCTAGAGCTTTCCCAATGTTTCCATGAGCTTGGATGAAATGAGGGGTGGGGAGGGGGTATTTATAGAAAACAAGACTGAATTCGGGCCATTGATCTTAAAAATATGTAACTTGATCTGGGCCATCCATTTTTCTTTTAATCTTATGATGATAAGTGTTCCATAACATCATGTATCAAGCCACATGTTTCCAATCCAACCATACACATGTCTTGTGTCCGGCCGTACATATGTCTTGCATCTAACTGTACACTTGTCATCCATTTTTCCCCATCTGACCATATACTTGTCTCTTTCATTTTCCTTCATCATTAAGGCATTAAAATAAGGAGGAAATTAATATAAAAATTCTTGCAAAATACCACCCTTAGGCATTCCCCTACCTATCTTGTCATTTTGCACCGTATATGGTATTTTTTCGAGTCCTGACTTTCTTGGGACCACTGGGACATGTTATGGCACCATTTTCTATCCTCAAATAAATCCACATGACATTATGTAACATGCCCAAAGAGAGACTGATGCTCTTCTCTTGTTCTTCCATTGAAATAATTAAATAATTAATAATATCTATTTCGGAGTGAATTTAACCGAATTCTTTCTACCGATCTACGACTCCAAGAATCTGTCTCTAGGTACCAATATTATTTATTCATTATACAGAATTCTTCTAATTTTTCTTAAGTCAAAAGTCAACCTCTAGACATTTGACTTTGATTTTTCTCGGATAATATGTAAATAGGCTTTAAATTCCATTAAACCCAACCTCTTCACTTTCTGGGGACAGAATTATTTTTAAAACCTGTGATAATTCCTCAAGTATCTTCTGCCATTTTCTTCCAATTATATGAGGCCTCCTTGTACTTTAAATAATTTATTTTCAATAATATTGAAAAATTGTCAAAACCTTGGGAATTTCACAAATTCCTTCCAAGGGCATTTTTGTCATTTTTTGCCGCATATAGGCCTCTTAACCTTGTTCCTATTTTTATGAAGTGTTCAGGTCTTAACCTACCATTTCCTATTTTTTGGGATTTTTTAGGGATTTTTTGGCATAATTTCCATTTTTGCCCTTACTAGCCTAAAACTTTGCAAAATTACCATTTTGCCGCTGGTTTGGCTTAACCTTAAAATTCACCCCACTGAGGCCTCCAACATAACCTTTGGCCTACATTTATCTCTGTTTCTTATTCCTGGGCCTCAAGACTACTTCTGAGTCTCTAACTTCTTTTCTCAATCCCAAAAAATTTTTCCTTTGTGATTTAATCCCTGAGAATCCCTCTATCCCTCTAGGGAACCTCTAGGACCTCTGCTAAAGGGATATGGTAGTCTACCTATTTCAGGCTAATTTCGGCACTTCTAGGTCAAAAATTTAGGATGTGACATTTTAGGTCTTGTAAAAAAATAATTTATGCCCAAACATGTAATTTAGGGCAAAAACATAATTTTGTAAAGTTTTGGGTCAAAAAGAGTAAAAATAGAAATTATGCCCAAACATGTAAAAAAATCCCAAAAATTGAGAAATAGCATGTTAAGTCTTGTACATAAAAAAATTACGAAAATACCCTTGGATTGACTTTAAATGAATTTTAAAGATTTTTACTCATTTTGAGGTATACAGTCAGATTTAATTATTTGAGTCATAAAGAGGCCTCAGAAAGGTAAGTATAAATAGGGATTCATGAGTTAAAAAACTAGAAAAAAAATTATAAAATTAGTCTCATCCCTAAAAGCCCAAAATTTTCTCTATATGCTTCTAAGGTGGTGCCATGTGTGTACAATTTTCACTGGTCAGAATTGTCCAAATCCAATGAGTTACCCGATTGGTATAATTTTTTGGGGTAATTTAGGAGATGACTTAAGAAATATTTTTAGACAATTCCCTTCCAATTTTTAGGATGTTTTCAACACCAATATTAAGTAGGAGTAAGGTTGGAATTTTAATATTTATGCAAGGGTATAATTGAAAAAGATTAAATTACAATATTACAATTGTTTATTTAAAGCACTTGTTAAATATGCAAGAGACACATAGAATGACGATGCAAACATGATATAAGCAAGATGATATGAGTATGATGTCATGAGGACACATGTCATCACAAGAAAAAGAGCCAAAATGAATGGCCAAGATCAAGCCCCACACACACAAGAACAAGGGTTAGGACTTGAGCAAAATTTCTATAAATACCCCTCCCTTCCCATTTTCTTAACATTTCAACCAAGCTAAGAGAAAAAAAGGGGGAGAGACTGAAACTTGGAGAGGAAGAAGGAGAAGAGAAAGAACAAAGAAAACCAAGCGAGATCAAGCTCCAAGAGAAGGTATGTTCATGGTTTTTGATATAGTTTCTATTACCCTCATTGTTGTTGAGCTTGGTTATAGGCTTTGTTGGATTTTGGAAGCTTGAAACCTTTGGGTATGGTGCTGCACAAAATTGATTGAGTGAAAACAAGATGAAATTGTATTAGAATAATGTTTAAAGGCTTAAAAGGAATAAGAATCAAGTGGCTTTGTGATGAGTTTGCAAGAAATCCAATTTTTTCTAACTTGTGTAATTTTCAACTAGACCTAGGGTTCTTGATAGGGTTGAATTTTGATGATTTTGATGCTTCCAATGAGTTTAGAATTAAAAATTGTGTGAGATAAATGTGAGAAAGTAAGTTTGAAAGCATTAAAATTGAAAATAAAATTTTTGCCCTAAAACCCTAGTGTTCGGCTAGGTTAAGTTGAAGATGAAAGACTTGGATTTTATTTAATTTGAGTTTGGAAATGAATTCTACATGCAAAATTATGGGAGAATAGCACATGGTATTAAATTTAGAAAGATAGGAAACTACGCTCAAAAGTCAAAAGTTAATGTGAAGTTAAAGAGGATTAAGTATTAATATGTTGATTTGGATTGTGATTGAGAATGCCTTCTTGAATGCTTGGTAGGCATTAGGCATTGGTAAAAAGAGAGCTCCAAGAGCAAGAGAGGGAGGCAAGAGTTAAAGCTTGAAAGAAGTAGCAAAAACCTATAAGTTAATGTTAACTTGCCTTGTGTGTTATTTGCTATTTGTATTATGCCATGAGGTGGTTGAACTAGATGTGTTGTGATATGTGAAACTCTTTGCATTTGATGTCTTGGTGATATGTATGGTTGAGTTGTGAAATGGAATGGTATAATAGCATGCTCTCTTGTCATATGGCATAAAGGTGAAATAATAGATGTGCATAGTGAATATAATGATGCACGAGATGTACATTAATATAGAGCATGACATGCATTGTATTGTTAACATTTTGTTGTGGTTTATTACTACTGAGATTTACCCCAAAATCTCACCCCTTCCATGTTTAAATCATACCATCTAGGGGTTGATTTATTAAGAAGCAAAGGGAGTAAATGGAGTTGGCGTTTGGACCCCCTTGATAATGAATTATGCTCTTGAGATCTATTTTGTATAATTTACAAAGGTTATGTATGAATGATCTAATAGCTATGTAGCGGTGCAAAACATAGCTAAGTGGTGTTTATATGCCATTATGTTTGATTATGATTATGTGATCTGAGAAAGGTAAGAATTCATAAGAAATGGCATGACAAGGGATAAATGACCAAATAAGGGTCTAAATTGTACATCACGTGAATCTGGACAAATAGTAGAGTGTGATCACAAAATTTAGCAAACTATTAGAGCTCATTTTAAGCTTTAAAATGAATGATAATTTGTTAAAAAGTTATGCCTTTGCAAAGTTAGACATAAATTCTAAAAAATTAGAAAATGACAAAATAAACAGTACCTCTTTGACTTAAAATGAGTATTTTTCCTATGTAGACAATTAATAGAGCTTCAAATAAAACTTGAAACTACTCCATTTTGATTTTTCTACAATTAATTATGATTTTGCAAAGTTGGCCAAAATTTTAAGGATTGATATGAGTAGTAACCCGAGAACAAAATTCTTGAAAACTTGATTTTCTAATCTTGTGGCCAACAAATATGGTTCCAAATGCTTTTGCTTGATGCACTACTGGGTATAAAAGTAAGATATTACAAATGTGAGAGAAAATAATTGTTAAATCCAAGAAGGGATGTGTGACATGTGATGAGGAAAGTATGACATGAGCCTCTTATCATTGTGTGGCAACTAGGGTTATTTAATAGGAGAAGAGGGAATTTTTCGGATGCAAAACTTAAGCCCATTAACAATTAATTGATCCACTTGAATTTGGTCATTGGATTATGCTTGAATTTCAAGAAATAATTTTGCAATATTGAATTTTCTCTTTTGCTCTTCCTTGACCTACAAGAATTTATGTGCATTTATTAATGTAAAGTATATCCACATATCAAAAATAAGACAAGAAATTACAAAACTTTCTAAAAATTAACTTCCCAAAAATATGAAAATTGTTTTCAAAGAAATGGGAAATTAAAATAGAAAGTACAAAATATCATATTTTCAATCCAAAATCCCAATTTTTATAAAAAAAATTCTAAAATTAATCAATTAATCTAATAATGCATGAGAAATCCATTTAAGCCCAAAATATCATTTAATTCCTAGCTTGATGTGGGATAAAATATATAAAAATTAAGCTTTATCAATCATTATATGGTTTGTTTATAAAGAAAAATTATGGTAATTTGACTTTTTGAAAACAATATATAATGTTAGTTGATGGGATCATTGTTCATTACATGAAGTAATTAGCTAGTAGCTATGTTAATTCCTTATAACTCCAAATTGTTGAGAGGGAACATGGCCTTGCAATGGAATTCATGTTTGTTATATGACGTACAAGAACTTACATTTTATTAATTTAAAATTTATATTTTATTCTATCTTATTCTTGTATGCCTTTTATATTTAATTTGATATTTACTAATATTATAATTTTATATTATTAAATGGTTAGTAGCCATCATGCTCATGTTACTTTTCTTTTTGAATTAAAAGGGAAGACACTAACGACCTAACATTACAAGTGGGATCTATTACATCCTAACTTTTACATCTAGAAGTATCAAGATTAGCCTGAAATAGATAGACTATGAGACCTTTCTTGGTAGAGGTCCCAGAGGTTTCCTGAAAGGACAGAAGGATTCCTACACTACATAAAAATAGTAAATTAGCAGCAGTCCATTTCTACCAGTTAAAAAAAATCGCTACAAAAGTAGACATTCCTAACGGTTATAACACAAACCACTAGAAATCCAAAGCGCTTTGACCAGAAAGTAAGTGGGACCCACAATTTTCTAGCGGTTTTATACCAATCACTAGAAAGTGACGGCTATAACTGCTGCAGCCATTTAGCATGAAGTTGGCGCCATATTTCCAGTATTTAATTTCTAGCGATTTTGTTGCTGGAACTGCTAGAGAATGCAAATTGTCGTTGCATTCTCTAGCGGTTACATAACCACTAGAAATTTAAATGAATTTTCTAGCGATTTTCACTCTAACAGCTAGAAATTTTTTATTTTCTCAAGTAGGCCTAACACGTGGCTGCATGCAAGTGGATGCGGAGTTTGAGCTAGTCACCCTAGTAGAAGAACCAGTTTACTTGGCTGGTCTAAACCATTTCTTGGATTTTGCTTTCACCAATGCCGCCGTAAATGGTAAGATTCAGTGTCTATGTCCTAAATGTAATTTCAAGAAGTGGCATTTAAGAGATATTGTTAGAGAGCATTTGATATTTAAGCCCTTCTTGTGAGAGTATGTATTTTGGCAACTATATAAGGAACGACCAGATGTGATTGCTAAGTCAGTTCCAGTAGTTTCACAGATGGGGGTTCGAGCGGAAGAATCTGATACTGTGAACGATGCTGTGTGTGATGCTTTTGACGTTGATGAAAGTAAGGATCCCAACCCGAATACTCCTGACCTAGTGGTGACTGGCTAGGCCACAAGTGAGGCGAGTCTCTGCTTTTTGAGGGTGGGGGTTCGAATCCTCACTTGTTAAAAAGGGTACCGGGGAGGGCTTTACTTGTCGCCCGGCCCGAATCCGGACTAGTCGATCGCTCGGGTACAACTGGCCCAAAGAGGCTGGGGCCCAGAAAAGGCGCGGTTGGATACCGAATGGTTTATACCAAAAAAAAAAAGTAAGGATCCCAATGAAGATGAAGTAGAGGGGCCTCAACCAGAGTTTCTTAGAAACGAAACTGCCTGGGAATTTTTCAACCTTATGAAAGAGGCTGATAAGCCTCTTTATTCTGGGTGCACAAAGTATTCTAAGTTGTTATTCTTGGTGAAGCTTTATCATATCAAATGCTTGTGTGGTATGAGTGACAAGGCAATGTCCATGCTATTGGAATTGCTGGGAGATGCTTTTCCTCAAGTTGAATTCCCTCCATCTTTTTATAAGGCAAAGAAGATTATTAACAAGCTTGGCTTGAATTACAAGAAGATAGATGCATGCCTAAATGATTGTATATTATACTAGGGAGATGATGCAAGCAAGAAGATTTTTACGAGATGTAACATATCTCGCTATAAGTCTGTACGGAAGGGGAAAAAGCAGAAGAAGAAACCAACCAAAATTCTCAAGTACAATTCATTATAATGTGTTATTTGTTCTGTCTCTAAATATTTGATATTTGAAATTCTCAATATAATTCATTATAATGTGTTACTTGTTCTATCTCTAAATATTTGATATTTGAAATTCTTAATACATTATTTTGTTAGATACTTTCCTTTGAAATCGCGGTTGCAAAGAATGTATATGTCATCAAAATAGCTGAGCACATAAGGTGGCATACGATTGAGAAAAATCCAAAAGGCAGGTTAAGACACCCACGAGATTCGGAGGCATGAAAAACGTTTGATGTGAAATTTCCAGACTTCGCCAGTGATCCTAGAAATGTATGTCTTGTGTTGGCAATCGATGGTTTTAATCCCCTCATAAATATGAGCACAAGCTATAGTATATGGCTGGTGGTGTTAATTCCATACAATCTCCCACCTTGGATGTGCATAAAATAAAGCTCATTTTTTCTTTCCATTATCATTCCTGGCAAGAAGGCACCAGGAAATGATATAGACAGGTACCTGCAACTGTTGATACATGAATTGATCGACCTGTGGATGAATAGTGTTGAGACATATGACTTATATGACAAGTAACTATTCAATCTCCAAACAGCCTTGATATGGACAATAAGTGATTTCCTTGGTTTGGGAACTTTGTCCAGCTGGAACGTACATACTAGGTTGGCTTGTCCTAAGTGCAATTTTGACATCATATCATGTCGCCTTCCACACAATCGCAAGTGGTGCTTCATAGGATATTGACGGTTCCTCGATTCCAAGTATAGATTTAGATTGCAACGGATTCGCTTTAATAAAAAACAAGAAAAGAGAGATCCTCTTGTTATATTGTTTGGTGTGGATATTTTGCAGCAGTTACAAGATGTTGATGTTGAGTTTGGCAAGAATGTAGATCTCGAACAACTGGGATGATGGTCTCGTGGGACATCTGATGTGCAACCTATGCAATGGCAGAAGAGAAGCATATTTTTCATTCTTCCTTATTGGGAATCTAATTTGCTATGACATAGTTTGGATGTTATGCACGTTGAAAAAAATGTGCGCGATAATGTGCTATATATGTTGCTCAACGAAGCTAGAAAGTCCAAAGACCATCTCACAGCTAAGAAAGATTTACGAGCCTGGGAAATTTGTGAAGAGGCTTGGCCTAATGAAAATAACAAGTTTCAACTAGCTAAATTCACCTTTATGAAGCAGAACAATGATATCTTCTTTTCGATGCTGAAGAACATAAAAGTGTCTGATGGATATTCTAGCAACATCTCAAGGTGTATCAATTTGCATGCTTAAAAATTTATTAGGTTAAAAGTCATGACTCCCATGTTCTTATGCAATAGTTACTTTCATTGGCTTTGAGAAACACACTTCCTTCTTATGTATCAGTGGTTTTGATGGAATTGTGTTCATTATTCAAGAAGTTGTGTGCGAAGGTCTTGATATCGGTAGAGTTCAATCAATTGCAAAATAAAATAATTCTTACATTTTGTCACTTGGAGATGATATTTCCTCTATTATTCTTCATTGTCATGGTTCACTTGACTGTCCACCTTGTTCGAGAAGCAAAGGTTGCTGGCCTAGTTCAATATCGATAGATGTCCCCTTAGAGAGATACTAGATTATCTTTTGATAAATTGCAGCAAAGTTGAACCCTTCATGCAGTAAACATTATATAAGTTCACTAACTTTGACACTTTATATTTGTTTCTTACTGACTCTTCTAACAAATTATACTTTATTGTAGTGAGTTTAGAAATTACCTCAGGCGGCAGTTATGAGGGTGTGCGCGTTCCACTAACATTGATAAAAAAATTCCATAGAGAGTTTCCCAATTGGTTTACACGTTGAATACATAATGACAACACCCCATACACAGATTAATTGAAATCTCTTTCCCTTAGTCGGTTAGACCATGAATGAAGGTTTACCGCATATAATGTCAACGGGTTCAAGTTCTGTATGGTTGGACGTGATCAGGGATTACTCACACAAAACTTTGGAATTTGCAGGACATTCAGGATGAGATGTTATGCTAGCAGCAGTGACGACAATATGCACTTTGGAGGCGTCACTTACTATGGAAAGCTAATTGACATCGTTGAGTTAAGTTACCAACTTTTCACCGTAACTCTATTCAAGTGCTCTTGGGCAAATACGACAACTTCACGGGGACTCACTATGTTACACCTTACTTCTAGTACAGTTTAGAATTCACTCTGAGGTATTTTAGACCACTTTTGAGGTCTTGGGCTCAAAAATATCCAAAAAAATGCTGATTTTCGGATTTTTACTCTTCATGTGGTAAAAATCCAGTTTTTTGGTCCAACTTCAAAAAATCATAACTTAATCAAGAAACATTGAAATAGAGTGGATCAAAATTCTATAGAAAGATCTTTGAATGCTCTTTTAAGAAAAAATAATCTTGTGAACCAATTTTGTTTGGAAAAGTGTCAAGTTTTTGTGAAAATCACCTCTGTCCTTTTAGTAAAAACTCTTTTTCTAGATTCTAGACTTTAATTTTGAAAAATCATTAAAAATCATATAGTTGGCCATTTTTAACATCCTTCCCATTGATTTGAAGCTCATGACATGAACTTTAAGCATACCAAATTTCGCAAAGAAATTCATTAGGGAACTTAATAAAAACGTGGCTCCAAATTGGCTTCCTGCTTAGGGATTCTAGCACCAACCATACATACTTATACATAACCAAATATAATTGTTTCCTCATGATTCATCGCCATATTTATCCTTGGATTTGTAGCCTCCTTTTTTATTATTTAGTCCCTAAAATGTTGGTTACATATGGGGGATGAGATTTTAATAAAATCTCAGTAGCAAGATCAATAAGCTAAAACATCAACATGCATCAATTACAAGTATTCCAACCTTTTGCTATTAATAGGGAACTACTTTACCTCATACATGTAGCATTCTAACATGCAATAGCCAAGGCACTTAAGGCAAAGATTATAGCTACACAATCATCATTATCATCATTATTTAGCTCAACCACATAATAACACATGAAATTACATAGCAATCAATCCAACACTCAACATTAAAGTTAATTAAGTCTTATTACCTTAATCCAATGCTCTTTGATTCTTTAACCTTCTTCCTCTTCTCCACAATTAAAAAACCCTAATCATGATAAATCACAAAAAGGGCAACAAAGTTACCAACCATTTCACATAAAAAGTTCACAACATAGTTCAAGTAACTCTTAACCCCTTAAAGCCTCTATCTGTGTTCTTTGAATTTTTAGAGTTTGTTTCCTTGACCCTAAAAATTCTCTCTTGACTCATTCCTACATGATTTTTTATGTAGATTCCAAATATCTACTTGGATTTAACAAAAGAAAATTCCTTCTTCCAGTTTCAGCTTGATCGAACCAAAAGAGTTTATTATCCAAAAATTACAACTTTGATTCTATAGCTTCCAACATTTGTTCTTTAGGTTTATCCTACATCATTTTTCATTTTGAACATCATGGAAGCATCAAAAATTTGAAAAATCATCCTAGGATATAGTTATTGTGTTGGCCGAACAGTCCCTCTTGCAACATCTCAAAGGAATCTCTTCACAAACAATACATAACTGCTTGAAATCACTTGGAATAACCATGCTTTTAATTGTTCTAGCTAGTTTGAACAATAAAACTTCCTCCCCTACACAATAACAATTTTGGCAAGCTCCAAATAAAGAGAAAAAATCAGAAATTTCAACCATACAAAGCATGAAAACAAGACAAGGAACAACTTGAAACCAACAACTAAACTTAAATCTCACTTAGATGACCAAAGTTGCTCCTTTTCTCTTGATTTCTCTTTCAAGCTCTCTCTTTTCCCTCACCTTTCTCACTTGGCTGAAATATAATCTGAAAATAGGGGGAGGATTGCTTATTTAATGTGTACAAAATATCTCTCCTACCAACATTAATGAGATGTCAAATGTCAAAAGTCTACTCTTTCTTGAAATTTCCCTCTTAATCATTTAATTCCAATTGTAATTAATTTTCAAAAGTCAAAATCTCCTCCACTTGAGGCTTGACATTTGAAAAGTTTAATTACTCTCTAATAGGGGCTTGACAAGTGGCAACTTGTGGGCCAAATAAAGTACAAGACTCTAGTCTTCATTTTATCAGTGTACTTTTACTCCAAGTTTTTTTTTTTCTATAATTACAGTACTCTAACCTCTGTAATTATTTTTTGTCAGATCCATAAATTATTCTCCTCATTTTTCTCTTCCCAAGATGCCCTCTTTGTCTCAAAATCAATTTCTCAATAATTAAATAAAAAGGAAAACTAATTTTCTCCTCTTTAGTGATTTTTCCGCTTTTCTGAATAATTAGGAAAAATCTTGGATATTTAAGGGTCTCCTTTTTAATTCCATAATTTCTTGGGACATCATAAGAATTTTTTTGGGATTTTATTCTCCTTCCAAATACTTATTTGGAATTTTCCAAATAAAAGGCCTTAAACTAGCTTAAATCACCCTTAAATTCCTTTGAAACTTTTTCAAGGGTAATTTGGTCA